GCCCACATCTTGATCCTCCAATCTGCAAAATTCTTGCCATCAAACACAGGCAATGGCCCCTGAAGTCCTCCAATTCCAGCCATCCTTTCTTGCTACTATCTTTCTGAATCTTTGATCTAAACCCAGTCAAAGAAACCTCCTTTTCTGCAGTTCTGGATACACACACCTCCAGAATACAATGCTCACTTTTCCACACACCTCAGGATAGCCACCTTGCTCTTGATACCATATTAGATAAAGGGCAGAAAAGTAAAAGTACACTCTCAGATATTAACTCTCTTAAAAGTAATGTGTGCACGTGCTGGTGAGATAAACCAAAAGCAGAAAGAGAATCGTGAATCAGAGAGAGAGAGAGGTGAGCTCTAGAAGCTCCGCTAGGGTTCCAACCCTTCTTCCTCAGAGCACCACCACCACCACCACGGAGCAACAACAAGATGCAGAAGAATAAACGGTCAAAGGCTTACAACTGGTCTCAGGTAACTGAATAATGCCTCAAAATTTTATTACTCTGTAAATGAATGTTACAACGTCTATTTATACACAACTGCACACACAGTAACAGAATAACTTCTGTTTTTGTTTATTTCCAACAACAAAGACTAAGACATGACCCAAACTCTCATGAATGGCAAAAGTGGAGAATCTTAGACAATGGACAAAACCCAATTCAACAATATCACATGCGTGAAGAAGAGCAATGTCACTTATAAACTCTTTCGTTGAGTGTGTTCATGACAAGACTCGAGAAATAATTCTTTCAACATTTGTTTTGTATCATGAATCAAAACTATTATAGTTCTAAGCTTTTTAAATGATTTTATTATTATTTTTATATAGAAATTCTCATTTAATTTATAAAAAAATATAAAATTTAAGAAAAAAAAGTAAAAAGTTAACAATTCATTAACATTTAATTTAAATTAATTAACTCAAACATCTTAATAAATAAACGATTGATTAATTTGAGAAACAAGTAAACTAATTTAAAATTTAGATGTATATTTATAAAATTAATTTGAGAAACAGTAAATCTTGGTGAGCTTCTTATTTACTGTTTTCTTTATGTATTATTACTATTATGTTTCTTTTTTATAAGTATTAATTTTTTTTTGTAATCTTTCATTTTCAAAATAATAATAAAAAGTATTTTTTTTTTCTTTGTCTTTTTTTAGAGTAAACTCGGTTTGCTAAGTTCTATTATTGTAGAGCACAATGAAGAGTTTGATCTTGACTCAGAAGGAACACTAACTATATATTTAACACATGTAAGTCAAACATTATTTTTGAGGAGTTGAGTAGAATGAAAAGTTCTTAGTGAGAAGATTGTTTGTTTTGTCTAAGAGGTGGTAATAGTTAAAAACAAAAGGGCGAACGAATGCATAATGTGTGAGAATCTGTTGAATATCTCAAGCGCCTAATCCTGAAGAAAGCTAAAAAAACGTTGTTTGATAAGCTTGTACTATTAAGTAGTTGGTTAGGGAAAGACTAACTAAGCAATGATGCTACTTAGTTGGTCTTTTTGAATGATGAACCACACTAGGATGAAGATAGAGTTCTAACTGTTCCGGAAAATAATAGTGGAAAATTTTGAACAATGAGTGAAAATATAATTTAACAATATTACATAAATAAAGAAGGACAATTCGCTTATAAAACTATTTCACTAAATGCGCAATCATAACAAGACTCTAGAAATAATTTTTTTATTTATTTTATGAAATGAATTAAAACTACTGTAGTATTGAGCTTTCTAAATGATTTTATTATTTTCTTTATATAAAAATTCTGATTTAATTTATTAAAAAAATAAGTTTTAAGAAAAAAGAAAAAAAATAATGATTCATTAACATTTAGTTTAAATTATTTAACTCGAACATCTTAGTAAAAGTAGTAAATAAAGTCTTGATTAATTTAAGAAATAAGTAAAGTAATTTAAAATTTAGATGTTTTTTTATAAAAATTGATAAATTTAAGTATCAATCAAAATAGAATAAAATTTTAAATTATTTATTTGTAAATGAGGCAAAGTTTGAATATGAATTAATATTAAAATATTTATTTGTAAAAGAGGTGATAGTATAAGCTTGAGTGGTTCATGCTTTAAATAAAACTAATTTTTTTTTATTGTAGTTCCGCGTAGAAGAATAGAATGAAAATGAGAGTAGTGCGGTTTGCCGGCCAGATCTGTTGAAGTTGGTGCTGTAACCTTATGCAAATGCAATTACAATTGCTATGCTTCTCATCTATCTCTTAATTTAGATTCAGATCTCTTAACTTCCTTCATTGTTCAATGAAGTTATGAATGCCATCTAATAAAAGAAGGTGCTTTACTCTCCTTTCTCATTACGTTTCATTTCCATTTTCATCACTGCTCACTTGTTTCTTCAATTTCATTCCGTTCCAAACAATGCTGATCTTTGTTTTGCAGGCACAATAAGAAGTAATGTCAAAGAGACAAGCAAGTACCGCCAGACGTGGTGATGGGGTTTTTCCCTTTTCTGGAGTCTTCAATTCCAAATCCAAAACTTCCCCACTGTCCGTATCTCTCGTCCTCTTGGTAATTTATCACCCCTTTTCTCATTTGGCCGCTGTTTGATGATTAGGATCCACCCATGGGAATTGGGCTGATCCGGTTTTGGTAATAAATTTACGAGGTTAATAATTTATATTTTTTTATTGAAAATCTCAGGGAGCTATCCTTCTCATAATTTATGCTTTTGGTGGATCAGGTAACAAGCTTCTATGGGCTGTTCCGGTTAATGTCACTGTTTCTTTCTCTTTAATGGCTAGTTTCTATGTTCGTTGTGGCAGGGGTGACAAATCAACTGATGGGGGTTCTCATGTGAAATCACGGAGAGAATTATCCCCGATTAAATTTTAGTTTTCAGCTTTAAAATTTCACATTCTCGATTAGTTAGAAATATTTATAGTTTTGGCTTTAGTAGCACAAACGTCAATATGCCAATTTGTGCTTGGATGACAGGTTAAAAATGGCCTTTGTACTATTAGTGTATTCTAATTAAATGCATTTTAGACTCCATTTTTATGAATATACTAAACTAGCCTAAATGTAAGTAACTTACTGTACTTGTTTTTATGCACTGGTTGATCTTACATTTTCAAGTTTACAGGTCTTTCAGGAGGAAGAAAGAATGTGGTTAGCAGGATAGAAGGTAAGTTTGCCACTAAGCCTTCAGAATGTTATTGGGATTGCTTTGTATCAAATTATTAGTTGCTTATTGCTGTTTTTGTTTTTAGAAGTCATAAGACTTGGTAAAAAGCAGTAGCATTTCTTTGCTACGGAAAGGTAAGCCAGTAGCAATGCTTTTAAAAATTGGAGCTAGTTCCATGCATTGGGTAATCATTATAGCCAATTGCAAATAATACGGTGGTTAGCCATATTTTAACAAGTTTGTCCTTAGTTCTGGATTCTTAACAGATATACCTTATGATTATTTTTATTCTCTATGTGCCCCTTTTTTCTATTTTTGATTGTGTAAATAATCAAATCTTCTAGAATCTATTTTTCTGACAGTATGTTATGATTCTGTTAGTAGTGCATGCTGGCTACACCTACTAGGGGTCTAATAACAATGTATGCTGCACCTCCTTCATATAATGAAATATACAAAATTTTATGTTTGTCCCTATCTCTCGATTCTATCATGGTATCCAAAGCTTAATTTTTTTTTTCTCTATGGCTGCCATGTCTCCTGCCATGTCCACTGCACCCTCCCCACTCCTATTCTCATATTTTGTATCGGAGAAGCTTTCTGATACAATTTTTTTGATTTGGAATAAACATATTGAACCACTTATCAAGGCACACCGCCTTCAATGTTTTGTTGTTAATCCCCTTATTCTGTCATAGTATCTCTCCCTGTCTGACTGTGATCTAGGAAAAGAGAATCCTGGGTACACTATTTCGGAAACGCAAGATCAACTTCTCCTCTCGTGGTTGCAATTGTCCCTCTCTGCTTCATTCCTTGTTCATGTTATTGGATGCTAGCACTTCTTCCAACTATGGGACGGTTTCATTCAGATTTCCACTCACAAACTAAAGCTAAGGTGCGACAGTTGCACACAGAACTGTGCAATATGCAGAAAGGTGATCGTCTGATCACTGAGTTCTTACTCATTCTCAAAATGATTGTTCATTCTCTCAACTCCATTGGTGACTCTATCTCCGAAAATGAGTAGCTTGACATTTTTATTGAAGGCCTTCCAGTTAAATGTGAATCGTTCATCTCATTGATCAATGGCCAACCTTATTTGTTCTCGTTTGATGAAATTGAATCATTGCTTGTTGCTCAGAAAGCCAAAATTGAGAAGTTTAAACAATCTGGTGACAACTTCTCTCTCAATTTAACTAAGGAAAATTCACAAACAACTTCTGCTCCTACTGTCCAGTTGGCTCAGACACAATCCAATTCATATCAGACCTACTCTCCTAATACTTTTCATAAAGGTATGTTCATCGTGGCCGACGCAACCGCAGACGTAGAGGTGTCCTTACTGAACATGGTTCTATTCAGTGTTGAGTTTGCAACAAGTATGGCCATACTGTGTCATACTGCTATCACTGTTTTTATCCGAATTATACTGGTCAATCTTATGGCCATCATATGAGGCCCAATTCTGCTCCATATTACAATCCAAAAATGTTTTCTCAGTCATTGTTTCGGCCACAACCTTCCTATCCTCCTAGCCAACCACAACTTTACATGACAGCAGCTTCCAATACTCAACCTCACACTTATGCAAACCCATATACTCCTGCCTAACAATCTCAAAATTGGTTCATAGATTCAAGAACTTCACATCATATTACTTCTGATCCTAACAATCTTGTGGAAACCATTCCTACTCAAGGAGATGCCAATGTGTTTCTAGGGAATGGACAAAGTTTGATTGTATAGTTCTTTGGTTCTGCTACTTTTGCCTCACATACTAAACCACATGTCACTTTCTATCTGAAAAATCTTTTACACGTTCCCTCTATAAATAAAAATCTTGTTAGTGTTAGCAAGTTTGCCCATGATAACCATGTCTATTTTGAATTTCACTCTTCTGTTTGTTTTGTGAAGTCACAGGTTGATCACTCTATCCTTCTCAGGGGATACCTTGGTCCACATGGTATACCAGTTCCTTCTCTTCCACTGCATTCTTCACCCAGATCCTCTCACTGTCACTTGTTCCAACACTCATCCACTGATAATTCCAGCACTCACTAGTCATTATCCTCTCCTCCATCGCCCAACAATGTACTTTATATTCTCTATGGCACCATAGATTAAGACATCCTTCATCTATTGTTTTACACAATATTTTTAAATGCTGTAATATATCTCCAATAAAAAACACCTGTTGATTTTTGCGTGGCATGCTGAATGGAAAAATCTTATTAACTTAACTCTCACCCTTCTTTAAGAATTTATAGTCTTCCTCTTCAACTTATCTTTTGTGATTTTTGGGGACCATCTCACATTCAATCATCCCTGGGATACAATTATTATATTTCTTTTGTTGATGCTTACAGTAGATATACCTACCAAGCTGAATACTGCAACTTTGCCATTACTACTTCTGAAATCTTATAGTTGCAATCTCTTATTCAAGAATTACAAATCAAGTGTACTACACTAATTATCTACTACAACAATCAAAGTGTTGTTGCCTTAAGCCATAATCCGGTGCTCCACTCCTTAACAAAACATATGAAACTGGACATTTTCTTTGTTTGTGAAAAAGTGCTCAATTGTTCCTTAATTGTTACTCGTCTTCCTGCTGCCGATCAAGTTGTTGATGTTCTTACAAAACCACTTTCAAAAGCTTGGTTTTCTATTCTATGACACAAACAATGTTATTGATTATTTTCAATAGCCTTGACTGTGAGGGGGACTGTTAACAGATATACCTTATGATTATCTTTATTCTCTGTGTGCCCCTTTTTTCTGTTTTTGATTGTGTAAATAATCAGATCTTCTAGAATCTGTTTTTCTGACAGTTTGTTATGATTCAGTTAGTAGTGTATGCTGACTGCATCTACTAAGGGTCTATATAACTATGTATTCTGCACCTCCTTCATATAATGAAATATACAGAATTTTAAGTTTATCCCTATCTCTGAATTTTATCATGGATGCACCAAGGAACATGAAAAGTTTCAGGATATGAAGTTACAAATCCCGTGAGTTGAGGGCTCTTGTTGCTAGAGCAGCTTATCACCCTGTTGATTATAGAAACCTTCATCATTTTTAGTACCACTTTTCGTTTGTCCATCAATATTTAGCATCCATTATAACATAGGGAGGAACTTGACCTTACGTTGGGCTTTATATAATCAGTGTATATTGTAGTCTTCGGAATATCTGATCATATAAATTAGACATTGGTTATGCTATAAAAGGCACCCCAGGTTTTGTTAGCATCCTCTTCCAAAATGTTCATTTTTGTTCCCTATACAGAATAAATTATTGAGACGACAAGGAAAGCTACTACTAGAATCTGTTGTGGTGCATTCCCTTACAACTGCTGATTCAGCTGCAGCTGGGTTTACTGCAAATGGTTTAAGGGGGTCTCTCTATTTCTACCATATCAGTTGGCAAAGTTTGTACTGGAATTGTTGTATAAGTAGTGTTACTCCAAGGCAAGTAAAGTGTATAATTGAAGAGAAGGTTTTTAAGTGGATAGATACATTACCATGAGCACGAATAATGACAAGAGAGGTTTACTAGATTTAGCAAAATAAATCTCTATCTTATAAAATTGGAACATATATTTTCCTTTTAATTTGAAATATGCCTGATTGTCTTGCAAATGGAAAAATTTCAGGACCCTAAACCATGTAAATCTGCATTTATTTTTATAACTTTCAAATGCTGACATCTCATCTTTCCCTTTCTGGTTTTTCCTTTCCCTACTTTTTTTCAAACTAATAACATCTATAAGAAAACTGCCTCGTATATTTGCTCTGTGCTGCTGTGTAACAGAACGAACAAACTTGTTCTTTGTTCATACCTCACCTATTAGATTTGTTGATCAATCGTGATCAAAACAGGACAAACTGTGGTTTGATTCACAAAAATGAAGTTGTTCAATTGCATGCATTGTCTTGGAAAGACATTCCTTAAACTTCTGCTTTAAACAAATTTCAGCATTGTTTTCTCTTGCAGGTGATTTTTCATGCACTTTTGAAGTTCCAAGTGCAATTCCTGTTTTGAAGGATGCATATGGTGGCAGCCTGAAAAATGTTTTGCATGTAGGCCCTGAGAGTTGTTCAGTGGTCTCCAAATTGTTAAGTGAAGGGGAAACTGAAGCATGGGGTTTGGAGCCATATGAAATTGAGGATGTTGATAGACACTGCAAGGCTCTAGTGCATAAAGGCATTGTACGTGTTGCAGATATAAAATTCCCTTTACCATATAGGCCAAATTCTTTTTCTCATGTTATAGTGTCAGATGCTTTCGATTACCTATCTCCAAAATACATGAACAAAACTCTTCCTGAGCTAGCGAGGGTATCTGCTGATGGCATTATTATTTTCACAGGTACTTCATTTTTGGAATAAATGTAACCACTCAAACAATGGGTGTAGCTTTTTTCCAACTAGTAATTTTGGTACTTTGCTGTCTTTTCAGGTTCCCCAGGTCAGCGGAGAGCTAAAATAGCACAATTTTCCAAATTTGGCCGCCCAGTGAGTCACACTCTCCAGCGGTCTAATGCCTTTCTATTACTCTTTTCTATTGATTGGACTATTATTGCTTCTTTCAAATGTTCTAAATTGCATTTAATTGATTAAAATCCGATGTCTTCCTTTCCATGTTTTATTACGTATATTGTTTGCTATTGCATCTTCGCTAATAGGATTTTATCTACAAAAGTTATGCTTCAACTAATTCTTTTTTTTTGTTCTTTTACAAGAAATTATTCTAATATAAGCATATGTTTTCCTTTTCCATTATCTCAAGAACATTTGATGGTAAGATGATAAAAATTACATTAGAGCTTGACAGTCAAGGACGGAAATATTATTTGTCTAACCACTAGTGACCTACTAATATTATTGTTAGGATCTAATTGCAAGTTACGAGGTTCAAGTCCCATATTAGAAGTATGGGATTTCAGCAATGTTGTTCATTGGTGTGATTTTGGAAATTTTTTTCTTTATATGTTTTTTATACATATAATGTATATATATATAAGTATTGTTTTCCATTTTAGATATGTAGAATTTTACTATGCAAATTATGATTTCCGAATTACAAGCTTTCACCTTCCCTCCTGACCTTGGTAGAATATTGTCATTACCATAATTAATTCATAATAATATTCAAATAATTGATCAATCCAATTTAGCAGAGACTGCGAGTGATAGAAGGTACAAATTGAGAGTGATTGAAGGCAGATAAGAAACTGAGTGCAGAACCAGCTGTGTGTCTGAAGTTTGCACCTTGTATCTGGGTGATGGCAAAGGGTGGTGAGATGATTGCAGGTGGCTGCCCCAAAGGAAATTTAGGATTGCTAGTTGCAGATGAAGTTATAGCAAGAGAATCCATGCTTCTGTGCCGAACAAAGGTCTAGGGATTTTTAAAACTGGGTCAAACAGTGGAGATCAACAATCCCATGAATTCAGGATGAAGATCATAATCCCACTTTAGTCTTTGCTCAGTGACTATTGCGTGCACAATTTAGCATGCTAGGGACTCTCCAACTCATGATTCTGTGATCCTACAATTTAAATTGTGGTTGTGATAACTTATTTTTGGCTTTGGTATGTGTTTTATAAGGTCTTGGACTCTCCAACTATAACAACTAGCATTAGTGGTGTGATTTTATTACGGTTCATATCAATTGGCATCGGAGCTTTCACCACGTTTCTCTGATGCAAACGAGTATTGTAGGTGGTGACACCTAGCAATGTTAGGTTTGAAAAACCAGTCAAAGGGATGGCGAGGGAGCACGGTGGGTGCTAGGATCCAATTACAAGCTACGGGACTTGAGCCCCTCAGTGGAAGTAGCAATTTTGGTGTAGTGTTTAGATGGTCTTGGACTTTAACTACAATTTTGGTGGTGTTTAGATGGTCTTGGACTCTAACTACAACAACTAGCTTGTGTTGCAGTTCTCCTAAGACTTTTATCAATTGGTATCAGAGTTTTTCACTGTGTCTTTCAATAGTAAATGAGTGGTGTAGTTGGTGACACTGACATTGCAGTGTTCACTTTGGATTTGTCAAAGGGATGAGATGACCGTGGAGCACGGTGGAATGTTAGGATCGAATTGTAAAATGACTCTTTAGTCCCGCATTGAAGGTATGGCTGTGGGGGGTTCATAGGGTTTGGTTTCTCCATTTACACCGACTAGTTTTATAACGTGGTTCTCTAAATTTTCTTATTACTTATCTCTCTATTTAGCTCCTCTAAAATGATGTGGAGGATATTCCTTAGAGATTTGAATAACTTTATAATTTGTTTCTGGATTTGATTACAATATTATTAACTATTTTTGTGTTCTATTTATGTTCTGTATGATTATAACTACAGTTCATTTCCTCCTATTACACCGAATAGTTTTATAGTGTGGTTCTCTAAAGGTTCTTATTACTTATCTTTCAATTTAGCTCTTTTAAAATGATATGGAGGATATTCCTTTGAGATTTAAATAACTATAATTAAGTGTCTGAAATTTGGTATCAATTTTTCAATGACATGGACTATCGGACAAACTATTATTGACAAATGCCGATTGTGCTAGCTTGAATACCCGTATAATAATGTTCGTTCATGGTGGGTTTTGTCTTTTTAGCCTAAAGTTGAATATCATATTTAGGTATTAATAATAGAAATGTTTCCTGAGTTTTAACCACCTTACTACCAGCAGTAATATTGTTTTTGAAGACAATTTTCTTATCCTGATTTATAAACATTTTGCTTCATTGTGAAGGCTAAAATGCGGTCTCCATCTTGGTGGAAACAATTTTTCACTGATTCAAGCATAAAACAAAATGAATCTGCCTCAAAGAAGTTCGAGCAAGCTGCATCAAAGATGTCCTTCAAGCCAACCTGCCAAGTTTTCCACCTCAGTTCATACCGTTGATAATTTGGTATCTTAAAGTTAGATCAATAGATATATATTCATCGTATCCCGCGTTTTGTAATTTTGTATTCCTATAAACATGTGAGTATAATGTCATCAATCAGGCAATTTTGTTTTACCAGACATAGACAGATATGTCTGCATACTAAAAGATTACACAAAATTAGATCAATAGATGAATATTCCTATATGAATATTCTTGGGTGACTTAAAGACGTGTGTTTGACATTTGATCAAACTAAAAACTATTGAAATGAAAAGTAACAATTTATAATGGTATGCTGCTTTTTATCAACCTGAAAGGAATGTAAGTGAACATGGATTAAGGAGTAGATAAATGAGAAGCCTTTGGAGCATAAAGTAAGGATGAAGTCTAAGCAACGGGTTAGGCCGGTTTGACTCAACCGGTTTTACTATAAACCTAAAATCCCATATGCCCCTCTCGTTAGAGTACTGCAAACGCAATCCTCTCAAACCTTTTGCAAGTCATTGTAAAATTTAGACAGGCTTCATCCAATACCAAAAGTGATGTGTGTACGTTGTCGGGAATACTTTAAAGATAAGATTGATCACTGAACGAACAAGTAACGGCATTGCGCCTAATAGCCGCCGACATTGGACTTTTGTGTATTTATCCCATTAGTGTATCTCTATTTATCTCTATCACGTTTACTTCCTAAATCAAAGACTATAAAGCGCAGGAGTAATACTTTATTCACTCTTAGATTAAAGTATACTAAGTTAATGAAGTACTTCAATGTAAATTAATAGTGTCTTCTTGTGGACTTCCTTCAGAATAGTCTTTTATACCCTATGTCGGCATGGTTATTTTTCTCTCTTTTCACAAGCAAGTACGATGCCTGAAACAATCTTGTCTATCAGAGCAAAAATAAAAATAAAAAAAACTCCAACAGATTAGGTGAACAATTTTATTCAGGGGTTATTTTACGGTAAAACTGTTGAATATATGAATTAAGAAGGAGAAGATTTCAGTAGAATTTTGACGTGAAGGAAATACACACCGTCTATGAATAAATGAATCCAACAATGCACATCAAGTCATTGGTAGTAATCGTGAGACGTTAAGAAATAAAAATTGGAAAGATACGGAAGATGGTGATGAAGTTAAATGTGGGCCGAAGAAGCAGTGTTGGACTATAGATTAGGCGCAAAAGTCCCATCCAAAAAGAGGATCGAAAATGACCTGAGTGGGGCTTCTTTCTTTTGATTCCGACTGCTTCTGCCGATAATTGTCCCCTCAAAGGTTGGTTGATGTTTGATTGACCAACACTACATGCTACTGTCTTCCTCATACCATTTACTTATTTCCAAAATGACCCACGTGAACGCAATGACCAAGTCCATTTCATGCTCGTTCACCACCTTTTTACCCTCTTTTTTATTTTCTATATTTCCACTAAATATTCAAAGCTAGTACTTAGTTATCTTAACCAGTTAAGATAACCTCGAATAATTTCTTATGTGTGTATATATAATTTGTCGTAGTGAAGTACCTGAGAGCGTTGTCTGTCAATTTCATACGTTATGTTATGAATGGTCGATTGTGGAAATTGGAGTACGTCGTACACTTCGTGAAAATGCATGTCTTTTCTAGTCGATATTATACAAATGTCCATCGACGTGACTCGAAGCTGTAGTATACTAGAACAGAGAAGAAGGTTATGGAAATTTGCCTTGATTGGACTTGTGTAACCTTTTTTTTCAACTATCTGTACTTTTGATAACTGATATACTCGAAGTTAACAGCGGAAAATTTGGACTGAACATGCAACATTATTGCACATACCATCAACCATTTCCCTGTTTTCAAACACCTATTTCTGCCTCAAACTATTACCTTTTCAGCGATGTTCTTTTGATGTATTTATGGCTTGACATCATGCAACTAGTGCTCTCTTTAAATATTGTCTTGTTTTGTTCATCTCTATAACACAACTCAAGTTTCAACAAATGATTTTTTTATGTGCACACTAATATTGCAACATGAAAGTACAATAAGTATCCTTTATGAGTCATGTTTATCCTTTACGTTAAGCCATATTACAACAACTCAACTTTCCATAATTACAGTATACTACAGTAACTATCAAAAGTATTTGATGCGTACCAAGACACTGAGTACTCAACGATTGGCGAACACATAAATTAAACCACCCGACTAAAATGTCTATTAAAGCATCCATGTGCATTTCCTCCCCATCGATGTCACCTCAATCAAGCAAGCACAGTTTATTATTCTGCCATTTGTCAACTCCTACTGATTAAACCTTTTCCCGCAGTGATTCATGGAGAAGTGATTAATGAGAAAGGATTGTTTGAAATTATCTAAACCAAAATGTTTCAACTAGCCAAGTTTACTTTCATGTAATTTTTGCAATGTTTTTAAAGCCGTCATGCAATGACCTAAAAATCATTGCAAAGTGATAGATCAATTATACATCAGACAAGGTAAATACTTTGGTTTCTGGCAGACGAAAATATATCCTTCTTATTTTCCCGTAAAAGTTGGCAGAATGAGAAAATGTTGTTATTCATTCAGTTGGTTTTTTTAAAAGAAGAATAACAATAACATGATTTTTAGCACGTTTTTAAATTATATATATCTTTTGTTAATTAAATTACTTTAAGAATTTGAAAAGATAAAAAGTACTCATTTTATATTTGTAATAACTATAATAAAAAACATTTTAAAGAGTATTATTACTTCTCTTGATGAAAAGAAAGACTTATCGTTTAATTTGCATATGAATAGTTACTCCCTCTACAAGTTTTTTAACATCTCATTTTATGGAGAAAGTTCAAAGTACCTTGTTAGTGTTATATAGCTTATACAGTCCCTTATGTAAAAGTGATCACAATATTACAGTTACTTTATTCTCTGTTTAAAAGAAATTATATATATATATATATATATATATATATATATATTTATTTCAATGAGAGGGTTATATTTTAAAAACTCTCATAGTCATACAATCATACATTTATTAATTTTTTTTATCAAATAATTTAATTTTAGCTTTAATTAAATATCTTAATTTAATATTTATTATTAAATGTAAACTGATTGTGTGAGAAAAAAAATTAACATTTAATATTTTTTTCTTGAAAAACAATAGGTTGACACGCTTACAATTATTTGAGATGACTTTTGTGAGGTAAAGTGAAAAATAATATGTTAAATGAGTGTAAAAATGTGTTGAAGTATTTTTTTTTACCTTTTTTATGAGAAAAATGTCTTTACCTTTTGCATGTCTTTTATGTTTCTTATCTCATTGGATTCTTGTTTCTTTTTATTCCAACTTCATTTTATTTGTGATATGATTTCTATGATTCGTATTCCTAGTGAAAACAAAACTTATAATCTACAATAAAGTTGAGAATTTATGTATGAATTTAAATTTTATATTTGATAAATATGAGAAAGTTAAATTCTTTTGTTAAAAATTATGACTCATAAATTTATTGTCTTAAAATTTTGAATTACAAATTATATTATAATTAATTATCATGTTGGTGACGATTCAAATAAATACATGATTGAGAAATAATTCAATATGTAGAAAAAAATTTATGACAAGATTTTCAAATAAAGTATCTCCATTATTGCGATAAAAGGACAATATAGAAAAGTTGTAATTGAGATAATTGTTATTATTAAGAATGCTTTAGTTTGAGAGAGACTTTCTCTTGATAATAAGTTTTGTAAAGATTTAAGTGTGAATCTAAATTCTATCTTTGGATAAAAATAAAAAAGTTTAATACTGAAAGGAAAACCGTAAACTAAATTGGATTTGAAGTATAGGAGCTCTAGAAATGAGTAGTTGATGAGTAAAGAATCTATCTTAGTGGTAGATCAAAAGTTTTCGTGAACATGAAGTTCACTGATGATTCAGAGAGAGGAAAATTGCGTTGAAGGTAATGACTTGGAGATGGAAAGTGTTATGTCAACGAGAATAGAGAGTTCACAAAAATAAAGAAAGACACATTGTCTTCACTCTTATTCATTTGCCTACATCAAATAATTACTAGTTAACCAATAGCATATATATCTTTGGATTATATATATTAAATTTTTTATTTAAATTCAAATATATATAAAAAATTGAATAAATAAAATTTGTATTAAATGATATAAGAATTTAATATTTTTTTATCAGCAATAACTATTATATAAATAAAAAAATGAGACATGTTTCAACCGTGTATAATATAAATAAAAATATAAAAGATGAGAATTTGAAAGTCATTTAATACCATATCTTCTTTTTAACATAGAAATCCCCCAAATATAAGAACTTACTGTGTTAACGGTTATAAGTATATTTAAAATGATTTATTATAAAATCCAAGGATGAAATAAATGATGGACGTAAGAAGAGTGTGTCGGATACACTCCAATATTTTTTAGTTAAGTTTTGGTATTGCAAATAGGAAGATAATTTCGTTTGCATTTAGAATGATCGATAAGGTGGTTAATTATTTATTTTTTTCGAAAGTAGATATTTGTAAACACATTTTACTGCTGTTTTGTATGATTAATTAAGTGAAATGGAAGGTCGAAGAGCATATATCAAAACTTACCTGATTTGGAAGGGCAGAAAACTTGTTTGGGAGAGAGACGGTAAGGATTAGTCTGACTCAAAGATGTTGAAAGTTCCACATCGACTAGAGATAAGACCAATTCATAGTTTATAAATGGATACAAATCTCATTCTACAAGTCGATTTTGTAAGGTTGAATTAGACTTAAAGTCTACATCTAACAAAAAAAATCATCTAACAAAAGATCATATAGGAAAAAAAAATGT